TTGTATACAAAAATGCAATATAAAAAACAATCATAGTTGTGATTAAAATAATAAAGCAAATTCTCTAAAATAATTAAATTACCCTAATTGACACCCAATCAATGAATTTTATTTAAAGTACCGCCACTTAGAGAGTATCGTTATTGATTCACATTTTATCAAATTTATTTAAAGCGTCAAAAATGACACTCCATTCATATCATGCAGGAGCCGGGCTAGTTTTCAACTAGTAGTCCCTAAAAAGTCCGGGTTTGGACCTGGCCCAAACTAGTTCCCCGTGGACTACTTAACATCCCTAACGAAAAGGCAAAATTTTTTGGACTTACTAAACCGAGAGGGATGATGTTAACCTATTAACTTTTAAACGGCTTATGTTCGATTTAATAAATATTAATTCTTGTAATTTTTTTTCCTGAGTTTAACAATTTTTTATTATCAACTTTAGCCACGAAAATCAATGCGGTTGAGTCAATAGAAACTAAGCAAATATATTTTTTTAATAAATTTTTTTAAAACTTTAAACAAAGATAACTCGAAAAATTTAACTAAATTTCTGTAAGCTTGTAAAATTTTTTAAAAAATTTTTAGTATTGAAGTATAGTTTATAAATAAAAATTCCTTTTTAAATATATATTAATTTAACTGTATCAATTCATTTGGGCAATAAATAAAGGCTATTTGCAATGTTATCAGTTCTTGTCTGATAATGAGCGATAAAACGCATTATGAGCATTTTCGAGATCGAATAATAGCTGTCGTACTTGTTCCTCATTTATTTCATCGCTGGCCTTCATACTATTTAATGTGATTAACCAATTCCTTATTTTAGCTTCATGTTCTGCGGGTAGTGAGCTCACATTGTTTAAACTTTGCATTAAATCACTAAGCATTGGATGAATTTCATCCACAGCCTTCATATTTAATTTGAGCGCATCCATTAACGTGATAAAGTGCTAAATTAAAAAAAAAAAAAGAGTAATATAAATTATCTGAATAAATATGAATAGATATGAAGGCTAAGACATACAGAGACAGATTCTGCCACGTATTTTGCAGATTTGATAGGATCTATAGAATGTTCAATAGTTGCAGGTACACCGATTTTAAACCTATTAACTGCAGCCGGACATTTTAACTAATAATGATCATAATAGAATGTTTAGTAAGGAAATTTTGTTTAAACAGGCTTAGTTTACGAAAACAAATTAGAACCTTATATTCCTTCATAAATTGCTCCACATCGGGAATCAGATCGCATACCAAATTCATTGCGGTTTTATATTGAGCTATTAATTTTGCGCATGAAGGTGTATATCTAAAATACGTTGACCAAAATTAGAATTATAATTCTTATTGAGATAAAAAAAAAAAGTGGTAAAGAATGTAACTCAACTCAGCGGCAGTAACTGAATCCCTAACATACGCCTTTTCCAAATGCTCCATTGTTACGATAATCGCATATACATCTGCCAAATTTTCATATTTTTCTCGATCCTTGTTATTAGTGTATAGTCGGACTTCCTGTAGAAGAAAAAAAGTTTAAATCAGTTGCAATCTAGATCAATACAGTAAATAGGCGTATGAATGAAAACGATTACCTCATCAAGCACGGAATCTAAAAACTAAATTTAAAATCAATTCATATAAAAAGATACGATCATTAAATTTAACGTAAAGAAGGCTTACTGTGATCTGGTGGGCTAGGAGAAAGTCCAGTTCTTGACGTACCGTACGCGGTAAGATAGCTGAAGCTTGCTGGTGTACTCGACATGCTGAATAAAGTGACCGTTGTAAAGTTAATTTATTTACGTGATTGGCGTCGTAACACAACTGTAGTCATGTAGTCCACCCAATCATATTTATGCAAGTATAGATTGAAATTACATAGTTGATATCTGATATATTTCAAAAAAAAAAAACTTCGTCTAACGCTAATATTGCTAATATCATATCTAGACATTTTATATTTTCGAAAAATGTATAACCGGAACCAACCTACTTACACTAATCGCTATCAGCCACAACAGCACTCTGTATCACCACCACCGTTGCAACACCCAATTCCAACTCACCCACCGATTCAAATGCGCGATCCGCCAACGTCTTCACCCTCGCCACCAACACAACAACACTTGCATAACCCGAACATATGGCATCTAAATGACGCTACAACACAAATGGGAATGGAATTTGGACGTACAGCACTGACTGCTGGAACCGAATATGTCGAGAAAAATGTTTGTTTATCATAATTATCTTCATAACTATTCTCATAAAATTAAAAGTTAAGTTTGCAATTTTCTTGGGAAACTTTATTTCAGATCAACCGATATGTCGACATTCCCGCTCTTAAATATTATTTCAAAGTAAATAATTCATACGTGGCAAATAAAATAAAATTGCTATTATTCCCGTGGAGACATAAAGTAAGTATTGATTATACGTTTCTCAGTTTGAATTGATAATAAAAGTTAAAGATTTTTTTTGTAGCGATGGACTCGTATTGTAATACGGTCTGAACAAAATGGTCAGTTGGAAGGATTTAAACCACCCAGAGATGATATCAATTCACCAGATTTATATATACCAGGTATATCACATCGTGCGTGTAATTCAATACCGCGAAATTATTGGTACTAATTACTTATTATATATATATATATAGCAATGGCTCTTGTGACATATGTATTACTCAAAGCAATAGTCTCGGGAACTCAAGGCAACAAGTAAGTTATCTAGATGGTACTATTGCCATTGGATGAGATTTCTAAAAAATTTTCTAATGGTTTATCCTTTATAGATTTCATCCAGAGGTTTTAGGAGTTAATGCAACTTCTGCGTTTTTTCTTATGGTGCTAGAATTGGCATTTATTAAGATGGGATGTTATTTGTTGAACATTACATCGGATACTAATATATTAAATTTACTGGCATATTCTGGATATAAATTCGTTGGGTAAATCTTATATCTATCCTCTTAATCTTTATTACGATTTTTTTTAATGCATTAATTTAATATTGTCGATACTGCATCAGTGTCATTGTCACTTTGGCCGTTTCTTTGATAGCACCTTTTTGGTTTGTTGTTAGCACATTCATTTACACTGCTTTCGCTAACGGATTTTTCTTGGTATGGATGCTATTCGAACTTTTATTGACGAAATTAAGCTTGAATTTTTGATTAAAATTAATGCATATATCACATTTTACATAGCTGCGATCGCTTCGACAAGTCGTGTTTCCTGATGCTAGTGCTACTGTCGGTATTCAACCTCGTCAAAAAAGAAAAAGAATACATTTTCTTTTTCTTGTCGCGGCTCTACAAGTTGTCTTTATGTATTTACTTGTAAGATAATTAAAGGTAACGCTTGGATCCAGGATACCCTGATAGAAATCCTATTTTATATTCAAATTCGGTTTTATAAATGGATGTTAATCGATTCTAATCCAAGTTATATTATACATTCATTAGTTTATTATGAACTTTTTTTTTTATTAGAAATTTGATTTGATAAACGAATATATGCAATCCAATATTGTACCTATTTGAGACACTGAAAATATTGAATCTCACACAAATGTTACCTTATTATCATAACTAAACTTCGGCTGGAAATGTAATTCACTCACGATTTCATATTTGCACGAAATAAAATTTTTCAATTAAAATCTTGACGATTAGCGTTTTATAAATGGTGCCACTTAAAAAAATTTCGGAAATTTATATCGTGATTTTGAATCGTATGATCTTAAGTTTTTTTTCGATTTAAATCCGACTGTGCCTTAATTATTATTCCCTTAAAATAATATGGGGGCATTATAGACTAATTTTGTCAAATTAAGATACTATACATCAAAGAAGCAACTACAGCATTACGCATAACTTTATTAATTAATGTCAAAGAGAAATCAGCCCCGTGATTTTATTTAGATCCCTATCAAGAACAGTATGAAAATAAAAGTTTGTTCGTGCTGTTTTTGATCAGGTAAAAAAAAACCCCGATTTACGTACATATCAGATATTGTATAGATCCAAAATAAAGAGCTTCTAATTACTATACTATTATAGTGAAGTATATGAAGAGAAATTGGCATCGGTTTCTTTTTTAGATCCTTATCAAGAACAATATGCATGTAAATTTTTTACTCCATCAGTATTGCCGATTCATCGGGAATCATTGAGGTTACATAAGTAAATTTTAATATGTATAAAGAAATTTTTGTCGATCATCGCTAATAATACGCAAAAACGTATAAACTTTAATTTTATATTATTATTATATAGATTCTTTTTAATGTTTTCTTTAACGTTTAAAGTAATAAAGGTTTTTTCTCTAATAGGGGTAAAAACTGTTTCAAAAAATCCAATGACATAAGAAAAAAGAAGCATTAATTTCATTAGTGTATGACTGTCCTCAGTGTTGGCATTTTGGATTATTCCAATAAAAATTTCATTTGGACATAGACTTAAGGTGATGATCGACAAAAAATTCTTATCGTTATTATTGAAATTTACTATTAGAGTGCATCATTCGATAGAAGAATCATAGATTCTTTGTTCAAAATCAGCTATCGCTATTATATTTTAAATTAATCTAGATAAATCAGGATCAATTGAATCGGGAATCGGACATTTTCGTAGAGTAAGGCTCGAAAGCTTTCACTTCGATCCACGCAGATCCAGCCAATTAATTAGTGTTAAGCAGGCATTTTGCTAATGATTTAAATTTATCAATTGTCATAATAATGACCGTGATTGAATCTCATAATAATCCCTATAAGCAAACTCGTGGGCATACATTATTAACTACTAAATTTAAAGCGGAAAAGGAAAGTAGCAAAAAATTTCATTATTTCCACTCATATAATACACGACACTATTTGCATATTTAAACATTATGTGTGCTGCCGAGGGAAATAAGGAATTTTTTATTTTGAATATTTCACTTGACAGGATACGAATTTATCAGTTCCGGTCTTAAACCTAGATCCCATGAAAGCATTAAAGGTAAAATATACGAAATGATAGATCGTACTACAGTCTGACCTCCTTAAATGTACCCAATTCAATAATATTTATACATAGAATTCTTAGAATCTGAACTTTAGATTTAGTGTTAGGGTTCAATTAAAGTTAAGGTTAGATTCATCTCCGGCAAGCATCCTTTTTAGAAATAACTTTCAATTTTTTGTTTATTAAAAGTTGTGAGAAAATTTTATTCAAAAAAATTAGAAATGATTTTTGAAAATCCCGTAATAATTGAGTAAATTTGGTTAGTTTTGAAAGGGTCATAAAGAAAACTTGCGAACCCGTAATGAGAGCATGTTACACAATAAGCAAATCTGATTAGTAACTACACCAATATTCCATTTTTAAAAAAATTTTGTCATGTTAACCTGTTATAAAAAAAAAAAATTAATATGAACACCTGGTTACCAAAATATGCCTACGTAGGGAATTCATTCAAGTTCAGGGTTGAGATCTAAATTGAATGTTTCTGGTTGCTGCATCGCATCCAGGGAACCGAATGAATTAGGTTTTACATAATGAATATCATCGCCATCCTCTTCTTCTTCATCCTCATAATCATTTTTGTCACCTGCTTTTACAAATCCGTATATGGATTGATACGCGTTATTTTATATTTATTAAAGGATACATTAAAAAATGTATCATACCCTCATCAAACATCTCAACATCTTGCCGAAATAGAAAGCTTCTCCTCATACGTGTTTCATCAGGATACGGAGGTTCAGCAAAAGTTCCAGCTATATAATTTGGTGGAGCAGATGTATAGCTGCTAATTCTATTTGCATATTTTAGTATTTCATCAGCAGTTACCGAAGCTAAGTTTAATATTTTTTCGTAAGAAAAAAAGATTATTAAGTGAAATGAATAGAGAATTCTAATTATACAAACATTCAGAGGCAAAATTTATGGTTTCAATTGTTTCATTCGCCTCATCCAAACAGATTTCAAGCTGTTCTTTCCCATTTTTTAATTCATTAACAAACTCCATAATTGCATTATTTTCAGCTTCAATTTCTTTAATAACCTGTAAAATCTTTTTATGAACTCTTTGATGTTCTTCAACTTTGAATTTTTAATATAGGACAAAAAAAAATAAAATAAAATGGTTTATTGTCATAAAATTAAAATAAATAAATCAAATAAATCAATACTTCAAATACTTCAAATATCTTAAATACTTCAAAAAGTGATAGAAACCATTACTCCACCTTACTTTGGTCAAGACCTTGTTGCATTTTTTTGTCCAGCTCTACAATATCTTTCATTATGTCAACAGGTGGCCGATCTGTTGGTTTTCCTTCTGCATTTGCAGCGATGGCAGCAAATACACGGTCTATCAATGCTTGATACTCGGTAAGGAGAGCAACATTTTGTGCAATCATTGACTTTGAAGAGCTTTTCGGTGTGTTTATTGGATTCATTCTGAAACGTCCTTATCCTTAGCATGATAGAAGTTTGATTTTATTGGTTAATCAACAAGAACTCTGATTGGCCAAATACAATATCAAGAAATCCGGTTTTTAAAACTAAAATGATATCTTATTAATTTAAATCCGGTTGAATTATAGAAAAATGTTACGTACCCATGAGCAGTGGCTTGGCTTAGTTTCAAATTATATATATATATATATATATATATATATATATATTTAAATTAAGTAACGGATGTTAATAGCTCGGCCTTGGTCTACAGAGCCGAATCCAGAGATGGCATTTCACTATGTCCAATTGGTTTTAATTTTTTTTTTTAGACATATCTGATATGTCCAATTCAATTGGACATATGTTCAAAAAAAATTGAAACCAATTGGACATTGTTATCTCTGGAGCCGAAGGACTGGTTGACATTAGGCCATTTAAAGTTAATTTTTGTTTTCAACAAAAAAATCTTTAAAAAAGCGACTCGCCCCGGCTTTAATTTTATTTTAAAAAAAATTATATATAAAATTTTTTTGATTTACAGCTTTTTTCATTATTTTTAGGACATTAGAAAAAATTGTTGATAACCGAATTTTTAAGTTGATTCTAACTCGGTGACTTATCGATTCGGCCGTCAAAAATTTTTCAGATGCCCAAAAATAATGAAAACAGCTGTAAAAAAAAAAATCTATCGGATAATAAAAATATACTTAAGATTTTATTTTTGAGTTTAGCAAAAATCGACCAGACCGGGTTATGAGATCTAAAAAATTAACTTTGTTTAGTCTTATCCGTGAGCCGAACCGAATACGTACGTATGTGTCGGGCATTGGCGTAGTCGCAGTGATTTGCAATTTATATCTGGTAGCGGATCTCTGTTTACTTTACTCATATGAATAGAAACTTCCATCTTGTGTTTCGTCAACCATCCTATACTGGACTTACTTTGTTAGTTTTCTATTTTCATATTTTCATTTAGTTTGTGAATTGTGGATACGTATAACAAAAATATTTAATACTTTGCACTATATCGGTATGTATAATATGGGCTATATACCGTCAATAGAAATCAAACAAATTGTCATTTAAAAAAAAATTAATCCCTTAACTTTCATAACCTATATCTCGATGAATTTTGAGGCTATCTTGACGAATTAATAATAAAAAAAGGCTTAAGAACTAGATTTTTTTTTTTTTTTGAATATTAATTCGTCAAGATAGCTTCAAAATTCATCGAGATATAAGTTGTGAAAGTTAAGGGATTGATTTTTTTTTTTTAAATGACAATCTGCTTGATTTCTATGTATTGACGACAGCTCATATGTACTCTATGGATGTGTAAGTGGGATGGACTAAAATTGATTTGGAATCCGCTTAGTTTGGAACATATAATAATAATTACACCTAATATCTAATTCTCATCCCAACACTAACCTTAATAATTCCAAATCAACTTAAATTTCATAATTTAGGTAAATAAAATTTAGCCTTTAAAAGTGAGTTCTTCTTTTAATGATTAGGATTAGGGAAAGTACTATTATTATTCTTTATTCTTTTTCGTGTTAAGATATAGTTTAAGGTAGGTTAGAGGAAAAGCTTCTTTGTTTAAAAAAAGTTTTTATTTATAAATATCTACTTATTTTATTAGCTACACATATTTATATTTATTGGGGATTCATTACGCAAACTTTTAAACTAACCACTAATACATTATTTCCTCATTATTACGTATATTTAAGAATGTGATGAGTTACCATCATTCATTCGGGACTTAAAATCGCAATTAATAAAAATGAAAAAAAAGTATAATAATAATTCAAATAAATAAATGAAGAACGAAAGTGGAATGTACTTTTTTGTAGATATTTTTGAAAAAAATGGTATTAAAAATTTATCAGAGATTGTTATTGAAATTAACAATATGGAATTTTTTTGGCTAATTAATCCTGTAATTCAGTAATTCGACATCAAATCTGGTACACATTCAGCATTATGATGTCACAATACTAGATCTTAGATAAAATACCCACGAAATAATCCTGTATTCAATGGCTTACAATCCCGATTTAGAAAATGAGCGTATCCAATAGTCTATGAGAAATTAAACTACTGTATTAAGTATGAATTATAATTAGAGAAACTAGAAACCCTTGAAATTAAGATAGGTTTAATGATAAACAATAATTACCACTGCGTGCATTATGTCGCAATGACCTCGAAAAGTTGAATTAATAATTGAATTAGCATTTTTATAGATCAAATGAACGATAAGAAGCCTCACTAAAACTGAACGATGGTTTACACAATAGATATTGGCATACATATTAAGGGAAAATCAATTCTAATTTCGAAAATGTACAGGGAATTTTCAATAACAATATCCTGAAAAATATTATAAATAATAAATAAAATATATACATATATATCAGATATATTAAGATTATTTTTATAAAAGTATTCGCACGTAACTTACATACGTATGTATGTACATATCAGATATATATATCGATGTTTTTGATATATATATATAACCTATTAAAAAGACTATAAAAGAAAAGAATTAAAAATATACCCCCGTGGTTTTGTGTTCAAGGCTTCAACCTAGCCTATTTATATAAAAATTTAGAAATTTTAGATCACGCTTATAGACAAAAATGATGGAAAGTGGTGCAATTTAGGTGGTTCCCGAAACCTAAACTTATAATTGTATAACCTTAAAACTATAGCAGTATAGAATGTTTATTTATTTAATATGTATGTACGTGCAGGTTTATTGGTCACCGTTTTTTGCATCTGACGATTTAAAAACCTTAATTAGGATGTTCATGTACTTACGAATACTGCAATTTAACTGCGATGCAACTAATAATGTGGCGAGAACTGTGCTCAGATATATCTTTTTTTTTGACAAAGCAAATGCGTTCTAAGATTGATAAGGTTTCGACTTTTCTAGGTTTCTATATCTGAATGTCGTCATGATCTATAGTTAATATAGTTAATGTATCAACTCCGCAATTTTCTTTGGGTAACATTGACCCTGAGAGTTCATAAATTAACGACTATTGTCCGTTAAATTCATAATGTTGAAAAAATACACTGGTCGTAGTACGTTACACGTATATCATGCATCATAATTTTGTGGCTAAACTCCAAATTTGAGATAAAAGGCTCTTTCGTTCCCATTCTCTTTCTTTACACTCTTTTCTTTTAGGTGGTCAAATTTTTCGGTAATCTCGTAAATTCGTAACCTTTCAAATTAAAAAGGTGGCCCACCTACCATTTTTAAACACGTTTTTTTTACGCGCTTTTTACTTTTGTCGTAAAAAGTATAAGGCCCTGAGAACCTATTTTACATAATATAATACGAACGTAGGTTTCTTTTTTTTTCTCTTTTTTTCTCTCTTTTTTTTTTTTTTAATTTCTCTTTTTTTAACTAGTTAAAAATATCTTCAAGACTAATATAATATGCTAAAAGAATTTTTAATATCGATTTAATTTTTTAGTTTATTAAAAAAGTGTATATAATAAAAAAGTTGCTCGACTGTTCTCAACATAAACCTCTTATAAAAAGTCGCTATTTAACAAGTACATTAAAAAAAAAAAAACACGAAGAATTTTCACTTCAATGTTTACCCTCACAGAAACCTCAACGGCTCTTAACACAAGCTATCTTAGCCATAATAAAAATACTGCTTCAATTGACGAATCATATTTATCAACCATGGCACAAATCAACAATTATACTCTTCAAACGTCTACATCTCGTGCATCTGAAA